GTGGAATAATTTGGGAATGATTTTGATTGTGAACACCTAGATAGAAAGTCAAAACTCATGTCATGATCTTGATATGGACCTCTCAATCCCTTACCACCATGAATGAATAATGTATTGACGTCCAACTTTCCAAGCTCGACACCGGGCTACCCATCCACAATGAGTCTTTCGATTTCAGTTGGTTGTCCCATCTCTTTGCTTCTTGATTGCTACTTAGTTCTCGATATATATACTGCACTGGTTCCTTTGTGTGTATGCGACAGTGTTCTTGTTAAACATAGAGATGGAGGTATTAGGTGCATGGGGATCGTAGCGTCTTCCAGATGTCTTTCCTTTGCACTCTAAGAATGGACCACGCCGTCTTCTTACTCCGACAGGCAGTAATAACCTACAGTTACTTGGCCCCTTTTAGAGAGACACTCGACAGAGCATAAAAGATTAAAAGCGGATGTCGGAATCTTCTAGACTATTATTCACCTGTTTCGCTTCTTTTTCTCTTCTTGATCAGCATTACCGCATGGTCACAAGCTCCTCGGCGCTGGTAGGGTGGATAGCAACACAGCTATCAAAGTCCTGCTTAGTAGCACCCATCTTAATGGCGACACCGAAGCCCTGCAGCATCTCACCGACGCCAAGACCGAGGATGTGCAGACCAACAACCTTCTCCTGGGGGCCGGCGCAGATGATCTTCATCTCGGTGGGGTTCTTTGCCTTCTCCTCGGGTGACAAGCCGACATCATAGAACATGGCAGTGAACTTGGTGTGGTAGACCTTGATCTTGTCATCACCGTAGCGTTGGCGGGCCTCGGGCTCAGTGAGACCGACGCAGCCGACCTCAGGGTGCGAGAAGACAACCGTAGGAATGTTCTCGTAGGAGATCTTGGAGTGCTTCAGCTCCGGAGGGCCGAAGAGACGGCTGCCGAGTTGACGGCCAGCAGCAATGGCAACTACAGAATTGAGTCAGTGTAGTTCTTTTTAGATGAAAAGTGGAGATCGTGACTAACCTGGGGTCAGCTCGGCTTGACCGGTCACGTCACCGAGAGCGTAGACACCCTCAACGGAGGTATTTTGGTACTCGTCAACCACAACGTGGCCACCAGCATTCAGCTTAACACCAGGAATCTCCAAGTGCAGGTCTTCGACCTCGGGAGCACGGCCTACAGCCCAAAGGAGCTCGTTGACCTCGAGCTCAGAGCCATCATGGCCAATGAGCTTAAGCAGGCGATCCTTGCCCTTGCCATCGCGGATGAGCTGCACCTCCTTGAAACCACCGTGGTTACGGTGAAGATTGACGCCGGCGGCCTCGTAGCGATCAGTCATAGTCTTCTGGATCATGGGGTCGAACTTGCGCAGGAAGGTCTCGCCGCGGATGAACATGTGGGTCTCTACATCGACAGCGTTCAGGACACCAGCGATCTCAACGGCGATGTAGCCTGCACCGACAACGGCAATCTTCGGGGGAAGCTCCTCCAATTCGAAGAATCCGTCGCTGGTGATACCGTGCTCGGCGCCGGGCACAGAGGGGAGGCTAGGCCGGCCACCGGTTGCCAACAGGATGTGGGGTGCGGTGTAGCGAGCGATGCCGGAGCCGTCAGCCAGCTTGACCTCAATGGTGTGGGGCTCGACGAAGCCAGCACGACCATGGACAAGATCGATTCCTTCACGACCCCAGTTGCGCTCGTAGGCGCCGTTCAACCGCTTGATGACGGCATCGCGCGTGTTCTTGAAGTGGGTGTAGTTCATAGCAATATTATCGGGGATATCGTAACCATAGCTCTTTCCAATGTGCAGCATCTCGTTGATGGTCGCAAAGTTCCATGTCATCTTCTTAGGAACGCATCTAAATGTAATCAGGAAAAAGGTGCCAATCGAGCAGAGAAGTATTACACCTTGTACTCACCCCACATTGACACAGGTACCGCCAGACCTCCCGCTTTCTACGATGAGGGTCTTCTTGCCATACCAACCCGCTGCACGGCGGGCACTTCCACTGCCACCACTGCCACCGCCGAGGACGATGTAGTCATACTGCTGTGTTTCGATGGGAGCCATGTTGGAGGACTGTTGGTTCTTCGGGGTGGAGGATGAACTAAGGTGTCGAGAGATTGTAGACAGACGAGATTTGGCACCAATTGAGTCTGCAGGGGTGAGGCGGGGAGAGTTGATGGTCGCCAAAGTTCGATTGGTCAAGCGACCAGAACGGATTTGCCCGACGAAAGACCGGGATAGAGATGAAGAGGCTCGAAAGCTGATCCGGGATGATTGTATAGAGCGGGAGAGCATGGATAGAGGGGAAGAGGGGAAGAGAGGCAATTATATACAGGCCGAGGTGAGAGGGGAGACGAAAAAAAAAAAACAGAAGGGCTGTGGTGACGATATTGGGGTTCGCGTTGGTTCTTCCGTCACCGCGGGCGATTTCTCAGCAAGGATTACGTGATCTGATCTAGATCGTGCCCACATGCCGATGTAAACTTGGATGCTTTGGATTGTGATTGCATTTGGAATCTACATTTTGTCCACACTTTTGATGTAGAGGATTATTGAATTTGTGGTATATGTAATGTAAGGGTAAAGGAAAATCAAGCAAAGAGCGACAGGGAGTGACCGGCACTCTAGAATCAAACTCGAGGTAGCACACAAGGAAATAATCTCGATCAGACAACTCAATAACTCAATAACCAGGGTTGAAGCACTGGGCCAATTTAAAGATTTGATTGAACCGAATTAAGGCCAATGAATGTTGAAAGATGTTTCAGCTAGAGAAGGGTCCCGGCCCTATCAATCTGAAGATGTTGATCGGAGTATGACAGTAACAGGAAAGAGGGTATCAAAATGCGATGAATGTAAAAGCGGAAGCCATCGAGTCCAAGCTTAAGTATATCTTGGCTCCACGTCACAACATTCAATTGGAGCGACATGAGTAACCAGTCTTTTGGATCAAGGACTAGACGGCGCTTGGGGGACTGGAGAAGATTGGCTCGTATAATCACGATAAAAACAAAGTATGAGGATTTTCGAAGAATGAGAGATATCCCAGACTCTTGAATCCAGAATCACGGCGGGTGATCCTTTCATCTTCGTCTGGGTGCTGTTGGAGGCAGAACGCTATCGCGGGCGGATAACTAGTGGGTATAGGCGATAACGGCAAAAGAGATGAGACAGAAGCAGAGAGGAATATAGACAGAGCGTTCCATATCGGCTGGTGTTGAGGAGTTTTGTTTCATAGTTTTCAGAATAAGTATAGTAGCACCGAGATGTAGTGGTTTGGTGATGTGTCCAGAGACCTGAAAAGGAGGGGGTTTGAAGGAGTCTAAGGAAGTCCAGGGCGGTGTGTGATTAAATCCTTATCTGTTCAGGTAACTGCGTTGGGGCCTCAACAAAACATCACCTGACTCAACATGGGAAGACGTTTGGTCAACAAATAGAAAGGGGCCCAGTCTGTAGTCCACTAATTGATATTTTGATATTTTGATACATCGGACAAGCAACCAGGTTTGAACATCAGTCCCCGTGGGCTCTGGTTTTGGAATATTAAACCTCATGTGCTTTGGTTGGCGAGTGAAAACATCCCACTATTCCACGTGGTACCTATCTAAATCTCGGTAGGCCCCGAGTACAAAATGGACTGGACATTTGCAAGTTTGACAATACGTATGTTGTAGGCTTTCCAAGTTTGGGTGCGATGTTGCAACTGATCCATCTAAATTTAGCCTTACGATTTGCAATATAAAGCATCATGTAAGACAACCTCGCGTTCAATGTCCCAAGTTCTCATGTGTTGTACATCCCTTGACAGTATCCATATATCATGGATCGCGTGATGAGCTCATTTTAAACCCCCAACCAATCTCAACAGCAACGATCTACATTACTGCATCACCCCTAGCTATACTTACTCACACACATTTGTCAAAGAGCAGCCCCTATCCAGCCTATACCACAACACTCCGAAACCTTCACATTCACGGAGAAAGAATGAATGCAAGGAGATACCAACCACGCCTCCTATCATCCAATAAATGCAGCCAGGGCTGGCCTTTATAGCTGGCCAAACAAAATAAACAGGCAAAACACAACCCAGGAAAACGCCTTGCCAGCCAATGGAGCAAGGCATCTGGCCGCTCGAGTGCCCCTTCGTAGTCCCGATTCATAAGACAAATCTCGCCCTAGAATTTTCCTCCCCTGGGGGTATACATGAGCCGATCTGCCCAAACACTTCCCCTTCACCTCGATATTACGCCAACTGATCTTCCACCAGCTACCATATCATCATCGCCATAATGCGTGTTTCAGCCCTCGCCTTCGCTGCCATTCTGTCCCTGGTCTCGGCCAAAAAGATCAACATGCACTGTAACTTCGCCGAGGACCACACTGGCATGGTTCAGCAACCATTCTGCTGCCGTGATTTGGTGCCTGCACGGGGAAACTCAAAGGCAAACGAGGCATTGGACTGTGCGTATAACAATCTCATAATATTTGACCACGATTTGTCTAACGGTCTACTTTTCTAGGCGATCAATTAGACCAGCCTCAGCTATGTGATGATCAGTCTCGGCCGGCTTGTTGCTATACTATTGTGGGTTCTCTTTCAGTCAGTTGACTCATAGTTTTTGCTAATCTGATCTCTTCTACTTTCCCCAGGGCCCGAAGAAGATCTGTACGGGCCATGTGATCTTCCAGGATGCAGAAGATGTTTAGAGTGGAGAAGGGTACAAAGGCACAGTTGAAAACAGTCGCGTTAGAACATGGTAGGAAGAGAAACTAGGTCCAGTCAACATTTTGATGTCAGTGATTTCAAGAGGATAGACATCGAGCAGATATCACACTTCGCTTCTGTTGTAATATTTGGATTCATCTCTGGGTGATGACAGCCTGGAGAAATCAGCCAAGCCGTATCCAGAATTTCACGAAGCAAGGCAATATTGAAAAGGACCACCAACCCCATTTTCCTGGCGCCAAAGATGCTGTTTACCCATCAACCTGGGGCAAATGCAACCACATCAATCGGAGACTACCCCAAGCATTTCCTCGGTATTTCTGCGAAAGAGACGCTCCGCTAGCCCCGGCTTTGCCGCACACAATTCCAAACAACATTCAGTAAATTGGCTGATATCAACACGGGAAAATCGAGTGTGCGGCCAGTCAGTGGCGTAGATAACCCGATTAGGTGCAACAGACAAGAACTCGCGTGCCATGGCCTGAAGATCACGCATTTGATGGTCTTTGCTGAGTCGATACGGTGCAGACATCTTAACGTAGGTCTTACCGTCGCGAAGCAGAGAGATCAAGGACGAGAATCCTTGCAGGGTGTAGGGGTTAAAATCCGGAGCATCATCGTCCCATGGCGCGAGCTCGGGGCTGCCAAAATGATCGATGCAGATGCGCACGCCTAGTTGCGGGAGGATTGACTCGACCATCGAGACCATTGTGAGGGGAAGATATATCTCGACGATCCAGTTGCGAGGTCGGGCAAGCTTAGCATGCTGGAGTAAGGTCTCTTCCAACTCGGCCTTGTCCATCAATTTGCCTACAGACTGAAGATTTATTCTCAGTCCACGAACTCCAAGAGCATGCCATTCGTTTAGAGTCTCCGGTCTAATAGTGGCAGGGTCAACCACAACAACTGCCCGGCCGCGCGAGGGTCCGAGTCTTCTCAACGCATCTAACAAACATGAATTGTCTGTGCCATAAACCGACGGTTGCACGAATACGAGATTCTCAACGCCCAGTTCAGACTCGAAGGCGAGAGCTTCAGGTAACGTATGTGCGGCAGGTTTATATACCGCTTTTGGAGAGACAGGAAAACGTTCAGGTTCCACAACATGCATGTGACTATCCCAGGACTTCGAAGGGAGTCGCTGCTTCAGGGATACAGTTGCGGATGAAGTATGTGTTGAACGCCGTTGCTCTAAATGGGTGGAACGAGCATCAAACGATATCAATGAAGGGCCGGGAGGTAGATTGAGTTTGGGCTGAGCAGCGGTAAGCATCTCGAATAAGTATTAAGTAAATAGAGACAGCGGTGCGCTTTCAATAGTGAACGAGTAGGCAGAAGTACAGAAAAATGGCCAAAATAAAGTCCTCGGGAGATACTCACAGAAGAGCAGGTCCAGCAAGGTGATATCACCCTAAGACAGGGCCTAGGAAGAATCATGCTAGTTTCACCGCTTCAAAATCCCTGGATCTTGATCCAAGTGCCTGCAATGCAGGGTTTTTTTTTTGAATGAAAAATTACCCATCGGCCGTGTCTGAACAGCGAAATATGTAGGGAGCACGATGTACAGGCCTTGTGAGACCCACCCCCTACACCTAGCACGCCTGCAACTAGGTGCAGGAAATTCGAGCTCGGAAGTTGTCCGTCAAGGATCGCTTCCAATTGCTAATGTGCCATCTGAGCCTGTGAAATGAGTTGAGGGGCCGTCAAGCGGAGCCAAAAAGTGGATAGTTGCGGCGCGAACCGCCATTGAAGTTTGTTGTATGGAGTGTCTTGGAAGACAAGGTGATGCGAGAAAGTAATACGGATTAGTGGAAATACAGCATAGGTTATGCAGTGCAGCAAATGGTGCTCAAGACCTTGTAAGACAAAAATTGGACCAATGTCGGATCTTGACCGAACCTCCATTTTAGCCCGGGTGCCGAGCACCCGGGTTTCCTCCTTTGTCCACTCTGAAGATCGCACTTCATTTCCCCCGGATTTGTTGTTGACAGCCCCCACAGCTCGCTTTGATTTGGGGCCATGCAATGGATCACGTCGCGATGGTCGACCAATCCCTACTGCGCCCTGGTGATTGCTGTCATTGCCTGTGGCGGGATTCCGAAAGGTATGTGCATTCCTTCCCCCACTACACTAGCTTATCGGACGATGATCTGCGACTACTAGTGACATTTGCTAATTGCACATTGTCTTCGAAAGGCTATGACGAGGGTGGCTATAGTGCCAGTGTCTCCCTCCCCTCCTTCAAATCCGACTACAACCTCGATAAACACATGGGCATCGACGATACCGAGCTAGCTAACCGAAAAGCGAACATCAGCTCCTTCAATGTCCTAGGTGCAGCACTTGGTGCCCTGATAGTCCTAGATCTAAATGATCGACTTGGGCGCTTGGTGGTGTGGCGCCTAGCATGCATCGTGTGGGTAACGGGGACATTGATTCAAGTATTCTCATCCGGTATATACGGACTGCTCTTGTTTAGTCGCATGTGGGCCGGGTTAGGCGCGGGCGCTCTAACGGTGACTGCGCCGCTGTACCTAACCGAAATAGCCACTGCTAGGACGAGAGGTCTAGTGGTGGGGATTTATATGGTATTCCTACTGGCATTTTTAGCCACGGGTAAGCTTTGACTCTCTGTACATCGTGCAACACACATCGCAGACACATTCGGCCCCAATCTAATCAATGGTGCGTCATTGCAGGGTTCTTTATCAACTATGGCGCCAGGGTCCACATGGCGACCACGCGAGCCCAATATCGCCTGGTTCAGGCTGTGCCTTTAATTCCTGTCGGTGTCGCATATGGTCTGTCACATCTTTGCCCTGAAACTCCTCGGTATCTCGTTTCGAAACACCTTCACCGGGAAGGTCTTGAGGCGCTTGCACGGTTACGTGGTAGGGCTATCGATGATCCTGAAGTCACAAAGGAGTTCGCAAGTATCGATGCGCGGGAACGGGAGCGAGCGACAGACTTAGCATCTGTCTCTCATTGGGCTGTGTTCAAGGAGACGCAGACGAACCCGAATTACCGACAGCGTTTCTGGCTGCTCATGACTATGCAAACTATCGCTCAATGGACCGGTGGGAACGGCATCACATACTACATAACGGGCATATTCCAGGTACGTCAATTTCGACAAGGCAATCATTAGCCAAGCTGGGTACAAAGCACTAACATGCGCTGAAATAGTACGCCGGCGTCAAAGGCGACGGAAATTCCCTCATCTCCTCCGGCGTCTACGGAATAGTCAAACTTATCTTCACGATGGCCTTCACATGGGGCCTAATCGATCTCCTCGGTCGACGCCGCTGCACCCTCGCCGGACTAAGCCTGCAGCTCTGCGCGCACATCTACATGAGTACGTACATGGGCCTGCGCCCAGGCTCAGCAGATAACCAAAACGCCTCCAACGCAGCCGTCGCCTCGGTCTTCATCTACGCCGTCGGCTGGTCCATCGGCCTTTGCACAGTGCCTTACCTCTATGGTACGGAGATCTTCCCAACACGCATCCGCAACGTTAGCTACGCGATTAGTATGGCGCTGCACTGGTTCTTCCAGTTTGCTGTTGTGCGAGTTACCCCGAATATGTTTGTCTTGCTGGATGTCTGGGGGGCTTATCTCTTCTGGGCACTTATTTGCTTTTCTGGGCTGGTCATCTTCGGCATGTGGATGCCCGAGACGAAGGGTGTACCCATTGAACGGATGGGGGATCTGTTTGATGGGCCGTGGTATCTGCGGTGGCGGGCTAGGCCGAGGGAGTGGGATCTTGTTTCGCCGGCTGACATCTCGCAGAATGTTGCGTCGAAAGACGGTCGTGTACTAAAGTCTGGTGATTTGGCCTTGTGATGGTTCTTTCCATTGTTTCTTTGGCATCCCATTGTTATGGCGTATATTTCTCATTTACCGATACCCCCCATCTTGTTATTATCTGGCCCATGATTGACTTTCACTGTAATTCGATTCTGTTCATTTCGGTAACTCCAAGATATCCAGTCTGTTTTGCAAATCAACTAGAGCTTCCCTCCACCTCACAATATCTCGTCCCGGGACAATTATTGAAGGGCGGTTTTTGTCGATTTTTTTCTCAGCAACAACTCGGTCAGCCAACGCTGAATCCTGGGGCTTGAGTCTAGATACTTCCCATATATTCATTGTCCGGGATCGCCCGAGCAAATTAACAGGCAGACCAGTCACCTCGGTATAGGTGTTATCATAGTCATGCTAGTCGTTGTTGAAGTCGAGCGCGTAGAGTGTGAGTCGGGGCCAGAATTTCTATAGCAACAAGCAGTAGAGATACCTTCCCTCTGCCCAGTAGTTGACGAAGGGCATGAACCATTAAGCGGCGAAGCTTCCGAGGTTGCAAGGTTGCCTACATATATGTGCGCATGGGAAGACATGTGGTCATATCATTGGCTGCTAGAGCAATATGCCTACCTCAGATTGACCCTAATCATGGCAGGCTGCTAGCTGTGTATGTGCATTGGGGAATCATGCGAACAGAACCAAGTCGGCGAGCAAGAAGAGCAAGGGGGAGGGGGAAAAGAACCAGCTTCCAAACCATGTCCAAGTGATGTTATACAAGATCATTGAGGAGGACCACCCCAGCCCTGCTCAAAGACAGGCGTCATGGGTGTCATGTTCGTTGTGATCGGCTGCGCATACGAGAATGCCTCATATACCTCAGGTGCAATTTCGTAAGACCCGGGGTCGTCCATCGTCATAACGGCGTTTGACATCCCGCCTAGAAAGTAAGTGGGTGGCAGCTGGGGCATGTCGCCCGAGTGTGGGACGTTAAACCCTGTTCCTGGATGCTGGAAGGTGTTGTAGGTTCCTATCATGGGCTGGTTTTCAGGGCCGGTGGTTTGGGCTTGCGTTGCTATCGATGCTTGTGATTGGTGGTGATGCTGGCCTGGAGAGACGTGGCGGGATTGGTTGCTGCCTATTGACGGGGACTGGCTGTGTTGAGGGCGGTGGATATTTGGATGGCATCGAGGGGGCGATTGCTGATGTTGGGGGTGCTCCTGTTCAGTCCGAGGAATGGGAGCTGGCATAGGTCCATGGATGTTGATTTGGAGTCTTTGGAGCTCCAGAGATATGAGACTGAGTGCTGTAGTGATAACGGGGTTGGCGGCTTTGACTCTCTCAAGGGCGAAAATGCAGAACTTGAGTTTTGCTAGTGTTCCTGGTGCCGCGTACTTCAGGGCTTGGATCTCAAGTAGAAAAATCGATGCCGCTGTATATATGCTGTATGCGAGAGAGAGGACGACGTGGCTATCGCCAAATGTACGGCGATATAGATCAAAGAGAGATAGGATCGATGTTGCCGATGCCATGCACTGTACAAGATGGTTCGAGTCTTGTGCCTCGGGGCGGGCTTTGAGCAGCTCTCGAGAGCAGAGAATTGGTCGATGAAGAAGGATGTTGATAGTATGATATAAACAGCTAGAAAAAAATTGAGTTAGTACAGTGTTCCATTCTACGCAGGATTGAGGACATACTTCAAAATCACGATATGGCTCGGTGGTGAATATGGAGGAAGGTCTACCGCCGCCAATTTCAAATAGTCCGGTAGCTCATTCCACCAGTCGGCCAGATTCTTGGCCTGTTCCTGAACGCAGTCAAAGAACTCCGAGTCCGTACTTCGGCGGATTGGGTCGTATATGTGGATCAGAATCTGGTTCAAGATTTCCGCTAGGCCGCAAATTTTCATGAAACATGACGTCGAATGGGCCTGTGTGGGTGGATAGTGAGCACCGTCGGTAAAGCTCACCCCATGAGGTGTCCATATTTCGATCTCAGCGGTGTCATCAAGAATCATGCGTGGCGGACTAACGCGAGAGTGCTGCATCGTCGGCGCCCGGCCGAAGTACAATGAAACCACCTTATCCCAGAAATAACAACTCCAAAATAGACGATTGCGTATTTCAATATCTTCATCACTAAGATGGGCAGATCCTGAATATTTCCGGCTGTCGATGGATATGCCCAAGTCGTCCAGCAACCGGAAGGCCATGCCACTATAAAGCCAAGCTTGCGTCCGATTTCCACGGCCGCATTCCTGGGCACTAAGAAGGAGTAATGTCTGAATGGTAGGGATGCCTGCATAACCAACTTTGAGCGAGTCGAATACCCCAGTCAATGCGCGATGGGAGAATTGTGCACCGCCGTCATAGGAGTCCAGAAGCGGACCAACCTGAGGTTCCGCTTTGCACCAGCGTACCGAGTGAGAAAGAATGGCGTTTAACAAGACGTCCGAGTAATAAGCCCCATTGATTTTCATGTCACCTGTATTGGGGAAGCTTAGTGTCACAGACTGTCTATAATGGCAAGGTTGAACATACGTGTAAATGAAGGACGGTAGACGAAATTCCACAGCGGCTGAATCCAGCACCAGTGCGAGTCAAGAAGATACTGGAAAGGCTCCTGCGGATGTGTATTAGAATACGCGTCGTAACATTCAAACAATCCAATCCACCAGGGTCCATACCGGCATGGCAGCCATTTGCTCGAACGCCCTTTCCCGCCATGCGTTATTGATGAGTCGCTCTTTGCGACCCTCCAATTCCTGCGCATAATACGAAGTCGACGCCGTTTCACTCACAACCCCACCAGGCAACTGGAACAAACTGGTCGGCCCGTGAAATGAGACTCGACCGTCATTTTCCACATTGAGACCATCAAACGCCCGGGTGAGGTCTTCAGTATCAGGATCGGTCTTTATCTTCGGCCCACTCGAGCTAGACTCAGCCGACGATGGCGATCTTGTCTTCCGTACCTCTTCCCCCTCACGGCACTTCGATAAAGCATCCTCCAACTGCGCAACACGCGCCTCAAGCTGCTTGGTGTACGATAAAGTCGGGGCTCTTTTGTGGGTGGAAGTAGTATCAGCGACTGTGATAATAGAATAGCGTGAAGAGAGAGATCGACTCACAAGCTATACACACACTGCTCACTGCGTGCGGCGCATCGCGAACACGACGGACTAGCGCCGTTACATTTGACCTGGCGAGTAGTTAGCTCGGAAATCTCGGGTTTCGTCCGAGGGGATCCGCATGCACCTTGCGTTTACGACAGGACTCGCACGAGAAGGCACTCTTCCGGGGGAGACTAGTCTTGGGAGGCTCGGCCATTCCAAGTTTCACCTTTTCAAGGTCCCAATTCGTCGAGATAGATCCCCCCAAAAGTGTCAAAATGAACGGAAAAAAGGGAAAAAAGATAAAAATAGGAGAGAAGATTTTTGGCCCCTACGTGGGGCGCGGGGATTAAGCCTTATGAGATGAAAAAGCATTGACGTCGAATCAGCTTGAGCTCAAGTTGGAGCAGGGCGAAGACTTTCATTGGTGGGGGGATTTGGAGAGATTTGGGACCTCGGGAGTGAATCGAGGCCCCACTGGAGGTTATCTCTATAGGGTATCGAGGCTGTACATATCGCAAGGCAATTACTCCGTAGATATGCTTCAAATGCTATTTGCATGGTATTCAATTGTGTACACGATTCATAGATCCCTTATTTCTTCCCTTTCTTGATACCCGGGCCCTTGCCCTTACCCTTACCCTTCTTGGGGTTCTTGGCTGATTCCGCATCACCCTTACCCTTCTTCCATCCGATATTACCGTCGTGTCTCATCTGTGCATCATCAAGACGCTTCTTGTCCTTGTTGCTAAGTTTGACGTTGCTCTTCTTGGTATTGGGACCGTTCAACTCAACGGCGCCCAGCTTGCGAGCAACCTTCTTGTCCTTCTCGGTCTCGAACCACGTCCGCTTCGGCCGTGACATGATCTCGTTGCCGTGCTTCATAAGATTCTCGCCCTTGGTGAATTGCATCTCGGCTTGAGAGAACTGTTTCTCGGTCTTCTCCTCTTGCAAGACCTCAGCGACCTCATCAGCCATGTCTTCGGCCTTTTGTGCCCAGCTGTCTGCAACGGCTTGCTCGACCACACGACTGACGATCTTGGCGCCTTGGGCTTTACCTGCGCGGACAGCAAGCTTGACGATCTTGCGGTCGGGCTCAGCAGCAATCGTGCAAGCACGACCGGAGCGGCCGGCACGGGCTGTACGTCCAACACGATGCAGGTAGATCTCGTGACTCTGGGGAGCCTCGTAGTTAATGACGGTCTCGACACCCTTGATATCCAGACCACGAGACGCAACGTCGGTGGCGAGAAGGAAGGCAACTTTGCCATCTCGGAAGTTTTCGACGGATTTGATACGCTGTATGGGAAGTGAGTGTTTGTTTAAAAAGATCAATTGTTGTTTAACACACCTGTTCTTGGCTCAGACTACCGTGTAGCTCTGCTGCCTTCAACCCCAGTAGGCCGAAAATGATGCGAACGCGGTGAGCTTCCTTTTTCTGTCGGAAGAAGATAATAACGCGCTTTGTGTAGGCTTCTTTGCACAGGTGCAGAAGGTAACCGAGACGCTTGTCCTCCCGTCCGGGGCGGAGACGCACGAACTCTTGAATAAGAGTGGATACAGTGTTCTTCTTGGCATCAACCATCAAGCGCATTGGACGGTTCATACCGACACGAATAAGCTTGTCAATTGAGTCTGTCATAGTCGCAGAGAACAGCATAGTTTGGCGAGATTTGGGAATCGTGGTGAGAATCTCGTTCAACTCATCGGCGAAACCGTCCTCAAGCATACGATCGGCCTCATCAAGAACCAGAATCTCCAGAGTATCGACTGTGAAACTGGGCGAGTTGCGCATATGATCAATGAAGCGACCAGGAGTGGCAATGATAACATCGGGGCGCTTCTTGAGTACATTCTCCTGCTCGCGAAGACTGAAACCACCAACCAATTGACAGAATGTGACATCTGTGAAAGTAGCCAGTTTTACAGAAACGTTGTAACACTGAACAGCCAACTCACGAGTGGGCATCAGGACCACAACGCGACTTGTGGGGACCTTCCGGGGACGGAAGAGAAGACGCTCGAGAATAGGGACAATGAAGGCGGCGGTCTTTCCTGAACCAGTCACGGCACTACCGACAATGTCTTTGCCCAGCAGAGCAACGGGGATCGCCTTGCGCTGGATAGGAGTCGGGTCTGTGAATCCAACAGCGGCGAGACCACGAAGGATGGGCCGGGAAAGATTGAATTCTTGGAAAGTCATCTTGGCCATGTTGGCCTTGGTGTCGACCTTTTCTTCGGGGGCAAAGAACGCTTTACGCTTCTCGGCTTCCTCCTCGTCCACCTCGCTCTCTACATCGGACTCCCGGTCTGAGCCCATATCGTCGGGGTGACCAACGGGTGTGGCGACAGAATCGTTGTCAGATGCAGCATCGTCATCAGAATCCTCATTGTCATCCTTGTCCTCATCGTCCTCTTCTTCTTCATCCCCAGAGCCAGGCTCGGGGCCCTCAGCTTCACTCTCCTCCTCGCCGTCAGCGCCCATACCGAAGGCGTCATCAGCCATGAGCTCATCGTCTTCGAATTCAACAGGCATTTCGTCACCCGATGCAGCCTCATCTTCAGATGCGCTGGCGCTCTCTTCCTTCTCGGCAGTTTTCTTCTTCTGCTTCTTAGCAGCAGCCTCATCTTTCTTGGCCTGCCTTCGTTCAATGATATCGTCAATATCGACGGCCTTCTTGTCGCCGGAGCGCTTCTTCTCGTTGTCATCAATACCCCAGCCATCGAAGCCTTCAGTGACACCATGGTTCGCGATACCGCCAACATCAAACTCGAACTCGGGATTCAAGACGCCGTCGTCTTCCGTTGCATCTGTTACAGCATCATCGTCCTCCTCTTCCGACTCGGGCTCGGGTGCGGGCTCGGCATTCTTCTTGTTCTTCTTGGCGTTTTTCAATTGCTGCTTTTCCAGCTGCTTTTGCTTCTTGTTCTTGGGCTTAACGACTTCGACCTCGCGTTTGCGCTTTTTGTTATCTGCTACTGGCTCATTTTCACCTTCCATATCGTTGTCGTCATCTTCTTCTTCGAATCGAGATTCGTTCTCGTCGTCGGAGAGTGTGAATACGAAATCATCGTCTTTGGCGGAACTCCGCTTCGCCGATTGAGGAGCCATTTTGGAGACTGACACAAATTCAAGTGTATTTCTGGTAACTGAATGTCTTTCACACTCTCCCAAACAATATCAGTATTAAATCCAAGACCCCCGAGCACTGTGCAAGCAACTCAATCTCGCCGAGAGGAAATGGACTAACATGCAAAAAAAAAGTTCCCGGGCGGTGACAAGAAAATTTCGGATGACATAATCGATCCGTTTCGAGATGCCCGCTTGTCACCAGCTCTACGGAGTGCTCCGTGCTTCAATGCTGCTTCGCTGAACATAACATTCTATTTCAACGTTGTTTTTAAGAAAGAATTCACATTATCATGCATTTTCAATTAGTTACCCACTTACGTAGGCATTCTTCCTCCGCGTAATATCCCCCGTATGCCCATTCAAGACATCATCTTCTTTTTCTGGTGAGACATCCTGGACATAGACAGGCCGGCTGTTTGTCATAATAGTCTCATTAAGCTTTCAACGTTTTTTCCTTCTAGGCCGTCGTTCTCTCCCACCCGTCGGATTTTCTGAAAATGATGTCCACCCATTGTCTCCGCACCATCCATTCAAAGGCTCATCAGAGGTAGTTGAGTATCGCAGACCGGGTACCACTCCCCTGGGGCTGGGCTTGAGCCTGGAATCGGCCCTTGACCCCATCGCTCGATTGTTGGGTCTTAATGGGGCGAGCCACGTATCGAAGGTCATAACTATGAACGTGCGTCAGCAAATACAATCCAAGAGGAAAGGAAAGTGAACAGAAAAGCTAAGGTTTACCTCTTGCCACTCTTTACCCTCGCATTTTCGAAAACACACTGTTCCGTAAAGCCAAAGTCCCTCTCCAACCACTTCTTGATCCAGGTATTCTTCTCCTGGGTCTCCGGGGATGTTGCAATGGCGCAAACTATTGATCTGAGAGGACGGCCATAGCCTGCACCATACTGCACTGTACCAGTTTGGTCAAACTCATAATTCTTGCTTGGTCCAGAGGTCACAACAAAACAGGAGAGGACCATATCGACAAGTGCCCATCCAATGTGCTGCTTCTTGCTGCCCTCTTGGACGAAGACATGCAGCTCACCCATGTGCTTGTCAGCGCTCTTGCCATGCCGATGGAATTCGACATAGGCATAGCCAACCACAGGGTCGATCTGGTTACGACACAAGCGCTCCGGTGGACGTCGGGCAGCGACGACAAAGGGGAAGTGGTTTTCTCGGCAAAAATGAAGAAGATCACCAATGTCATTCACCTCCATGAATCGGGTTTCACTGCTCAAAGCTGAGTTTTGTGCATACCAGTTCATGATCTCAACGATAGATGAAGCATCACACTGTTCCGCAGGACGTAGATAGATGCCGGGTGGAACAACTTTAGAATCCGGTGGTAATTCTAGCCAAGCACGGTAGGCCGCTGTGCGACGCAGGTGCTCTTGTTGTTCCTGTTCCTTCTTCTTTCGTCTTTTGTTGATCTTCCCCAGGTTGTATACGTAGCCTTCGGTTGTCTCGTGCCAATGTAGGCGTGTTAGCTCGTCTTTCATGTTCCTAGGGGTGGGAATATGCTTGGTGTCAGGCAAAAACATGGAAGACAGTCCATCGGGCATCGCTGTTCCGTCAAAGAAGGCAACATGATAGATGTCGACTTGGCGTCCTGCCGGAAGCTGATCCCACCAGCTACGAAACTGTTTTCTGACAGTTGTGTTGGGAAGTTCAAACGATGAAATTCGGTGTTTGAGCTCGTTCCACAGATCCTCTAATTCTCGGATGTCCAAAGTCCAGTCATCAAGAAGAGATCTCTCAGGTTCGTAAACAGTGTTGTGGTATTCCGATTTGAACGCGAGGATGCCATTTTGGACACTTGGGAAAATACGGCGAGATTTTGCGTATGCCTTTGCTTCAATTTGGTGTTGGGCATCCCACTGGGTCCGAAAATCCACGTTGTTGGACCGTTTGATCCTCTTTCTGATTTCTTCATTTTCATCGTCAGGAAGGTAGTCAGGTGGGTCAGATGTTGCCCATGGCTCAGGTTCCTCAACGCCTTCGACAGTCCTGGGTTTTGCGAGCAACTCATAGACACTGCTGCCCAGATCAACCCCAGGTCCATCCCTCGCTGCAGGAAGCATCTCAGGGCAAGAGTGACCCTCGTTTTCCATGCCAAGCAAAGGCTGCTGTGGGGGCATTTTTCCTCTCCTCTGTTTGTCGAACTGTTTGGTCAAATCCCAAGTTTGTGTCCAGCTCAGATTCTCTATGCTCTGAATCAGCTTGTTTCTTTCCATCTCGTTCATGGATTCGAAAGCATGAAGCATGGCTGAAACTGAACTAGAGCCATTAGGGACTACCGTCGATATTGGCTTGTTGAACTTGTTAGGCGGCTTTCGATAGGCGGCATTCCTGCCACGAAATGGCATAGACCGCTCAGTTTCTTCTGCCATTGAGATTTGACCAAGGTCACAAGGAATTGAATTGGGGTTTCTGGTAGATATTCTCAAGTCAGCTGCGATTTTCGAACATCACTGCCACGATGCTTCTTTCGCCTGTTTCGGGGCACCCTCTCGCTTTTATTCACTGAAATGTGGCGTCGACGAACGAGGAAGCAGTTGCAAAATTCTGTGAATCCACTAATGGTACAAGCATACCTAAAGGATAGGAAGTGCTGCAGTAGGTTCCCTGTCAAGACTTGACTGTAGAGCACGTCTGCTACAAAAATATGGACAGGGAAAGTAAAGGAACGAAGTGATGATAGTTTAGGAAGATGAATATGGGAGAGAGGATGAGAGCGGAAAAGGCGAAGATTAAGAGAGGAGGGTGGAGGAGAGAGAGATGATCATAGATGTTGGGGGACTGGGAAACCTCGAGCGTTCTCTGAAATTTGAACTTCAGGTTGCCCTCCCGAGTTCCTGCTTATGCGCCTATTTCCCTATCATCCAAATAAGCAGCTAATCAGTCTTCATTCAAATGCTACTTTGCAGTTGCGAAAGCTGGATTCTGGATATCTGAATAAACGCGTGAAGGTCAAGGAGATGATGTTGATGGGAATGATCCAAAGCTTCGAGGTGACTGCATAACCTCTGGCCTTTCTGTCTGATTTTCTATAGCTTTTTAGAAAATCTTTCAGATTGTCTTTTGGACGTGTGTAGAGGCGGTAAAAAAGCGACTTTTCTATGGGGATGACGTTAAAGCCTTGATTTGGAGCCCTCAACGTTGCAACTGATCGAAGCTATGACCTCGAGTCCAATACAGTGCCATTGGGAAATTCCAGCTATCAGAATAATTGCGGAACATATAATAATATGGCGTTCAGATGGACGTATTTGAAAAGAAAGTCATGTTCTAGTAACGGAGAGAAATCTTATATCCCCATCTGGAACCTGGCAGCATTTTCCCCTTTGCATCTCCCCTCCAAAAAAACACCAAGCAGGAAATTTTCGCAATCATGTTGTCGATTCTTCGAAAAGCCCGTTTAAAAGATAAAGAAATGCGTATATTGATGCTGTATGGACTTTGGCTGGTTGTTCAGGTCGAGAGGCTAATGATCCCAGGGGCCTTGATAATGCAGGCAAGACGACCATCGTCAAGCGAATTATGAAGGAGGATGTCACGACAGTCAGCCCGACTCTAGGATTCATCATCAAGACAATTGATTTTACGGGGTATCTCTCCTTACTTAGTTAAGATTGAGCACTGCTAATTCGGCGCAGATACAAACTCAACATCTGTGAGCCGACCCAGGTCTTTAGTGGGACCCATATTGACAGTACTAGGGGATGTTGGAGGACAAAAAACACTTCGATCCTACTGGAAAAACTATTTTGAAAAGACTGACACGCTAGTCTGGGTTGTCGATGCCACAGATCGACTCCGGGTTGACGACTGTCGACAGGAGCTCTCCGGTCTGCTTCTTGAAGAGGTACGGATGACGTCCCCACCCGCAATCCGCAAATTCTCGAAAGCGTCAACTGAACTCATTCCACCAGCGCCTTACGGGAGCAAGTCTGCTGGTATTTTTGAATAAGACAGATGTGGAACATTGCATGAGTGAGCGGGAGATTCGAGAAGTAGGTCTAAGCTCCTTGGAATTCGGGCTGTTTGCTGGACTTGGCTCATATTTCTGCAGCGTCTTGACTTGGATTCAATCAAGACACACAAGTGGACTATCTTGCCATGTAGTGCAATGACAGGCACGAATCTGAATGAAGGTCTAGAATGGGTGGTGCAAGATGCCAAGGACCGACTGTTCCTTTACTAGTGAACTCAGGGGAATCCGGCCTGTGTTTTCTCTTGCTATCCATGCTTACCAGATATCTAATTTGCCAAGTTTTCCTACTCTGATTAAATCTTAGAATGATCTCTTCATCCGGTTAAGCTGTGTTGTCTTACCCGCCATATCTCAACTAACACGCCGTTGTCTTCTCCATATCATCGAAGCGGTGTATGTTTGTACGTACCTTTTACAGTTGTGTTGACATATTACAAAGGACATAGTAAGTGTTCAAGTGGCAAAGAAACCACACTCTTCAAATTCGATCGGAATGAGTAGCATATTAAGAAGAGTAACGTGTGTTTCATTTCATCTCTGAATAGCGTACAATCTAGCAAATGCAAGGCACAACCTGATATATCCAAGTGCACTACGGAGTAGTTTGGTCACATATGACCCAACCATATGTTCACCGTAACCCTTTTAGCCCCTGAAAATGAGAGAAAACCAAGGGAAACCCAGAAGAAGCCGAAAGAGCGAGTAAAAGCCATGGAACGGAGAGGAAAACTGCGGGTCCCATCCACCTAATGGGCTAGGTAAACAAACCTCTGAACTCTTGTGTGTGATTGCATTTTGTATAAATCTCTCTATGTCTACATTGTAGGGAAATAATCTTACTATAGTTAAATAATAGATGGACTGAAAAAGAAACAAGTAGGAAAAAAAGTGATGTGTGAGCCACTGCATTTGTTAATCATTGCCAGTCCCGATTTAATTTAAACAGGGCAGGGCGGAGAACACAGCCTCTTTCCACTCTACAACTCTTTCCCCCTCATTTTGTCTCATTCTAGGAGGCGTGCATGAACGCCAGGAGTCCTAGATCATGGCTGTCCCTAACGAGAGTTCTGAGGATGTCAACGACTTCCTGCAGCGCATTCGAGAACTAGGCGAGCGCCGTGACAAGGAAGACGACGAACGCACCAAGAAACTAGAGGAGGAGATCCTGCAGGGGCGGAAGGAAAGGCAAGCCCGAAGAGCCGGTACATACGCCTTCTTCCCTTTGATGCAGGCTATGTTTGCATAGTCACAGCATTACTACAGGTCGATAATGTGCTGATATCCAAATGACTCAAAAACAGAGCGTGCACGATCACTAGCCCTTACCGACGATTCACCCTCCATCAATCTCGCACGACTGAGTGCTTCATCTATCAGTACCCGATCGATTGACCCCCCCGAACACCTTGAACCAACACCGCAGACGTCAGAACCTGAGCCCCCGATCCCGAACGCCGTGGATTTGAGTAAAGACATGGAGGCCTCCGACACGGACAAACGACACGGATCGATTTCGGATTTCGGAACGGATTCTCCCTCGCGGATACGGTCACCCTTATCCGGCAGCCGTGCGGGGACTTTGTCATGGCAGCAACGCCCCTCCTCGCGGGATTTCAACATGTCCCCCGCCTCAACATCCCCAACCCGCTCCCCAACTCGCACAAGCCACCTGAGAAATTTGTCTACGGCATCGGATGAGAGTACACTATCTCGACTCCAATTTGGGCTCCCACGGCCCTCGCAGGATGCCTCTGTACTCCCTCCATCACCGGACCGTGGGGCTGAGTTGCTAGCACACAGTGGGAAGGAGGAACAGACGGATAGCCAACCAGATTTGGGTGTGGGGCATCAAGAACCGGAAGTGGGCGAAGAATCAAGTGCTGAACTAGATAAGCTCGAGACAGTAGAAGAGAGATCATCGTCGCCTCCGAGAACCGCTTCTCGAGATAGCAACATGAGCCATCCCTTCTCTGTGTCATCGGTTTCAGCCACTGGGTTGGGGTCGCCAGTGCACCTCTCAGAGACTCAAAAGCTCGAGCCTCGACAGAATGATCCCTCCTTTGAGGAATCTGCGTCGCCCTCTCCAACCCAGCGGCGGACGTCCCCAGAGCGAACGCGGTCGACCTCACCTACCAAGGGCTTGGGAGGCTTTGTTCAAAGTGCTATGATGAGAAGATCAGATAGCATGTCAAAAAGGTGGAGTGCGCAAACTCCGCAGGGGCCTGGGCGGTCAAACTCCATTGTGTCAAATCGCAGCAGTGTGGCAGGTCCAAGTTTGAGTGAATTGGCCCCTCCACCTCTTGGGCGAATTGGACGTGAACCTCCAACTCTCCTGCAGCGACCAGGCTCCAGTCACAGTGAGGCACCCACCGAGACAACCGAACAACCAGTCACACCTGCAGACAAAGAAAGTGTGAATTCTGAAAGCCCAGGAAAATCATTCCGACCTGGTCACTCTCGTTCTGCTAGCTCTGCTACCGCAGAAGGTAGCGACTCTCAAAGTCCTTTTGTCTCGAAAACCATGGATCCTAGGCGCTGGAGCCCCAACAAGGCTTCTTGGTTGGAGAGTGCTCTCAATCGACCAGAGCCACCACGACAAGCCACCAGACCCCCCTCGCAGCCCAACTGGGCCAAAGACCGACAGTCGCGAGGCAGCGTGGATTTGGGACGAGTTAACAATTTCAAAGAAGTCACCCCTCTCGGTTTGATGCGAACACCCCCTCCTGGAACTCAAACCAAACTACCTGGTCTCTCTGCTCCATCGCTTCCTACAAGCCCCACGAAGGATGCCGTCCTTGAATCTCCATTGGGATTCCCTCTGAGGAAAATGGGTGTTTCTGGTCCATCGCTTCCCACGAGTCCCACCAAGGATGCCGTTCCTGACACTCCAGTGGGATTCCCTCTTAAGAAAACTGGTCTGCCTGGTCCGCCAATCCCTGCGAGCCCTGCGAAGGAGACAGTTTCTGAGTCTCCGTCTGGATTCCCTTTCAAAAAGACCAGCGTCTCGAGTTCATCACTTCACAGGAACTCCGTTTCAGATCCCCCCTCGGAATTCCCTTTCAAGAGGCCTGGCACTGCTGATGGGTCAGTCAGCGGAAGCTCTGAAGGCAAGCCCAAAGAAACAGCACCCGAGTCTCCGTCGGGATTCTCTTTCAAAAATTCCACCACTTCGGATTCATCACTCCACAGAAATTCCGTCTCGGAGCCTCCAGCAGAATCCCCAGCCAAGAGACCCAATGTCTCTAGTTCCAGCATTGCCAAGGAGGCCAATCTGGAATCTCCGTCGGACTTCTCATTCAAGAAGCCCCATACTTCTAGTTCCTCGATCCCTGGAACACCTCAAGCCAAATTGAAGGAGATAGTCCCACAATCTTCATCTGTTCTCGGAAGCCCTGACGTCGGACAAATAAAAAGGGAAACCCCAGCTCCTCCATCGCCTGTCGTGGAGGCTCTCAATGTCCTATCAGGCGGTGAGCCCGCGGAGGAACCCAAGTCTGCTTCCCCCGCTGAAATTAAGAACGAATCGCAAGAACCACCGGCATCCGAAGAATCTGAGCCTCAATCTACTCCCACTCGCAGGGCCCCTCCCGACTCGTTAAGCCCCAAACCAAACTTTTCTATCTCTACTTCCTCGCGGGAGCCAATTTCACCCAAGGTGAAGCCACAGTCTCCGGTGCTGGACTTTCGAGCGAACCTACGGAAACGAGAAGTGGTCAAAGACAACGGAGATAATAAAGAACCAGAGTTTAAAAATGTATTTGGGCGCCTCAAAAAGACTGAAACTCGCAACTACGTCGCCCCCGATGAGCTCAAGGGCAAGATCCTACGAGGCAAAGCTGCTTTGAACAACACTGGCGGACCAAAGAAGACTGAGCGAGTCGACGAATTTAGAAAGAGCCTTGTGTCACGCAAAGAGGAAATGAAGGCTGGCGGAGGCTCCATCAGACGGAATACCGCTGGAGAGCATGATGCGCCGCCAAAACCAACAGAGGTCGTGCCAGAAGCAATTGCTATGCGACAAAATATGACACGAGCAAATAGCATCAAGCAGACACCTGTAGATGGGACGATTTTGCCCGCTAAACGCTTTAGTTCTCGAGCTTCGCAGGACAGACCATCTTTGTCGTCCCCGACTTCATCTTTTAGAGGCTCCATTACATCGCGAGCTTCTCACGAAACGCAACCATTTTCGCCATCGCCTGCCAATGATGAGCCGGGCTGGCCCCTGAAAGATAATGGTTCTTGGCGAGCATCTCAAGAATCACAGCCATTGTCACCGTTTCCTGCCGATGACCCCATTGACGAGGAGCTAGATAAGGCAATCCCAGCGGCGAACGACTACAAGCAAATTTCCGGGGTGGTCTCTTCAACGAACGAGGAGGAAACCCGCGAAACTGTGACGCCAATTGAGCCCAGCATAGTGAAGATGCAGGAGCCTTCAGTCAAGACACTCCGCCCAGTTCGTCAATGGCCACCGGCGCCTGTCGCAGAGGCTACTGTGACTCCAAGTTTGGCAGCTAAAAGCAAGTTGGCGGGCCGAATCAACCCTGCGCTAGCTGGCCTACTTTCTCGTGGCGCGCCTGTCGGTGACGGACCGAAGAAGCAGCTGTCAACACCCGCCCCAGCGCAGAATGACCCTGCTTCGCCATCTGCGCCTCTCACCCATATCACAAAGGGCCGTGCTAGAGGCCCGAAGAGACGACTTCCCCAGACAACTGATGTCTCAACCCCATCCGCTCGGGATGACACTAAGGAGGTTGGTGCCATTTCATGCTCTGAAGCCACCCCGTCCCAGACAACTGATGTCTCAACCCCGTCCACTCGGGATGACACTAAGGAGGTTGGTGCCATTTCATGCTCTGAAGCCACCCCGTCCCAGACTCCTACAATCCCCATTGAATTCTTGGACATCGATTCGGAGAAGCCGTCGCAACCTGATGAAAACCCAGTTCCTGACATCAAAAAATCCTGTTCAGACAGCCCAGTCACCGAGCAACTTCCGGAAGTGAACACTCCTCCCCAAGATACCCTCGAACGCGATACGACCCAAAGCGGATTCCCCCAAGCACTTCAAACACATTCCACAACAACGGATTTCGATATCGTTCCCTCTGCCAATATCGAGGCGACACCCAGGGGCCCCGAAAGCCCTGGAGAGGTGAGTTCATCAAGCGGGCCACCTGTCCCGCCGAAGTCCGATCCTCCCACGCCCCCCTTGCCTGTGCCGCCAAAGCCACCTCATTGGGGCCAGCAAAACCGGTTTGCATCCTCATCGCCGTCCCCTCTCCGAACAAGTCATAAAGAAAACCAAATGGACTCACCTTTGAGTCAGCAGAAGAGCATCCCCGGTGTGATCATTGAGTCAGCACGCAGTTCCGTCTCACGGCCCATGAGCTATCCCTCCCCGCCGGTACCCCCTAAAGACGGTGATGTTATGCTTCCCAAACCAACGGATCCGCGCAGACTTTCAAGAAAGATGTCTGCCCCATCACTGGTTGTACAGGGTGGAGAGGCACGTGATGTGATTGCGGGCTTCTTTAAGACATTTCCCAACGCTCGAAACCGGATGGACATTGATCCCCAGCTGATGTTGATGCGTAAGCCGGACGATGTAAAGATCAGGACCGTCAAGCGACAGATTTGGGAGCTCACAGGTGACGGGAGGCGCCAGGAACTTCCTTCCCACCAGGAGTACATCCTGTACCAGGGTAGCATGTATCTTTGCGTGCACACATTCGAGTCCGGACGAGGCAGCACTTCGGAAGTCTACCTGTGGCGTGGAGACGATGTCCCTGAAGCCTCGGTTGAGAATGAGCAACCGTTCGCACGCAAAGTCGTTCGTGATAATAACTCCAAGTTGCAAGTCATTCGGCAAGGCAATGAGCCCACACGGTTCATCCAAGCACTTGGCGGCATTATGATCACGCGTCGGGGATCCAGCTCTCGCCACAACTCATCGGCTCTCTACATGCTTTGCGGCCGGAAACACTTAGGCGAGATGACCTTCGATGAGGTGGACTATTCACTGCGCAATCTCTGCTCTGGTTTCCCTTACGTTGTCTCTGCTCCCTTTGGTAAGCTCTACCTATGGAAGGGCAAAGGCAGTGGCCCCGAAGAAACCGGTGCAGCCAGACTTATCGGCATGGACCTAGGTCTGACCGGGGAGTTTGAAGAAGTCACCGAGGGCGAAGAGCCCGAGGATTTCTTTGATGTCTTCGCAGGCCCCAGGGAGGCCGCGCCGCACATGTGCCAAGATTACTGGCAGCACAAGCCAAAATACAACCACTTCCGCACGCGACTCCTCCGGGTCGACCACGAACTGAGCCCGCCAACTCGTTTCTGGAATATCCGGCGTCCAGGCGCGGGTTCACCAGTGGTCAAGGCCAACGATTGCGTTCACGAAATCGAGCCGTTCTGCTATCGAGACATCACTGAGAAAGATGTGTATGTTCTGGACACTTTCTTTGAGATCTACGTGTGAGTACTACCCCTATCAATGTGCTCTCCACTTGACTGACACTAACTCCCCTCACAGCATTGTCGGCGACCAAGCCTCGCAGAAGTCTGCCGATTTCGCCTCTGCAGTGGTCTTCGCGCACGAATATGGCATTCTTGCCACATCCCTCCAGGATCGACCATTCATCCCCAAAAGTTTCGTGGCCCTCGGAGGCGTCCCCGACCGCTGCCAAAGCGCGTTCCGCAAATGGAATCCACGTCACCAGCATACGCCTTTCGTGTTCTCTCTGGATGCTGTTATCGAGGCGATTCGATCACCGGAAGAGAATTGAGTGCGATCTTGTGTTTTTTTGGGGGGATTTTGTGGGGGCTTCTACTTTGAATTTGTGCATATTCCGATTTTGTTCACGCTCTACAAGCATTTCGGAGTCCTGCGTATTTGTGTCATATTTGTGCCATAGAGGGAACTGGGGCATCTGGGGAATCTGTAGATTAGGTGAATTTCGCGTTGGAGGGTGTATTTAGGCGATGGTTTTTCAACATTTCAATTTTTCATACCAAAATTGTCTATTTAGTTAGGCTGATCTAGGATTATTTTAGAAACATCCTTTAACAAAAATTAATTAAACCTAAGACCAACCTGATTGATCGGACCATTTAGGGACTTTAGCGTACAGTGCTTTGTACCTATGAAGGCTCATGGACGGGAACGGAGTGACGGGGCGGAGATAGAAAAAAAAAAAAAAAAAAACGTCCGATCTGGGATATCTCCATTCTCGATCTTTCGATTGGGATTTGTAAATTTTTTCCTTTCTTACATTTTACATACATACTCTCTCTGATGGCTATGTGAATAGTTGAGTCATGGACCCTTCCATCCTTCGCGAGCTCTCGAAGCTCGACCCCGCGGTACCGTTCCGCTCATCGACCGATCATTTACATCACACATGGGCCAAGACATTCTTCTCGCGCCCAGAGTTGTACATTCGTCCACAAACTATTCCAGAGATCCAACAGCTGGTGACTCTTGCCCGTCGCTGTCGTCGTCGTATCGTAACAGTCGGTAGCGGCCACTCGCCCTCCGATTTGACCTGCACCTCGTCCTGGCTCGTCAACCTCGATGACTTCAATCGCATCCTCCACGTTGACCCGTCAACTGGCTCGGTAACCGTCGAAGCAGGCATCCGATTGCACGCACTTGGCGCACAACTGGCGAAACACGGCCTAACACTCGAGAACCTGGGCAGCATTGACAGCCAGTCCATAGCAGGCGTCATCGCCACCGGCACCCACGGTAGCTCCCTCCGCCACGGCCTGGTGTCAGAATGCATCGACTCACTCGGCCTGGTACTCGCCAACGGCCAGCTAGTCCGCTGCAGTCCGACAAACAACCCGGATCTGTTCCGCGCGGGGCTGGTGTCGCTCGGAGCGCTCGGAATCGTCGTCGAGGTCACCTTCAAAGCGGCGCCCACGTTCAATATCGCCTGGCGCCAGGAGCGATATTCGCTACCGCGCGTGCTGGACGAATGGTCTACAGGTCTATGGACCTCGCATGAGTTTGTGCGCGTTTGGTGGCTGCCTTATGAGAAAGGCGCTATTGTCTGGCGGGCTGATAAAACCGACCTTCCGCTGCGCGCTCCTCCGAAAAACTTCTACGGCGACTCGTTAGGCTACCACATCTACCATAATCTTCTCGCGCTGTCTTCGTATATCCCGCGTATCCTGCCCTGGGTCGAATGGTTCGTCTTCGGTATGCAGTACGGCTTCCGGGCTGGGTCGACTATCACCGAGGCTGTTGAACCCGCACGCGAGGGATTGTTAATGAACTGCCTGTATTCGCAGTTCGTTAACGAATGGGCTCTTCCGCTGGAAAAGGGCCCTGAGGCCATCGGTCGGCTTTCGGCCTGGCTGCACGGCGACACAGAGACCGCGCGCATCCCCTTCTCGCCCAAGGGACTGTACGTACACTGTCCAGTCGAAGTGCGAGTCTCCGATACCTCGCTGAACACCAAGCCCCGCCCCTTCCTCGACCCGACCTGTCGCGACGGCCCGACACTCTACCTCAACGCAACGCTTTATCGTCCATACCTCCGCGACCCGCCATGCAAAGAACGCTACTACGAAGCTTTCGAATGGCTGATGCGGGAGATGGGCGCGAAACCCCACTGGGCGAAGAACTTCCGCACTCTTAGCTCCTCCGAGCTGGGCACTGCGTACGGGTCCGACATGGAATCATGGATGAAAGTGCGTTCAGAGGTCGATGCGGACGGGATGTTCGTGGGCGAATGGCATCGACGTCACCTGCCCCTAGGGCTTGGGCAAAGAAATGAGGAACCTGAAGACAAGAGGCTACCCCTCCTGGAGCGTGAACACGAACGTCGCAGGGTGGACATAAGGGGCGTTGGAGATGGTGTCGAATGGGTAGGAGATCGCCGATGGCTGGTTGAGGGTCAGGCTCAGCGACACTCCTTTGATGAGCTGGATCTGGAGAAGAGCGCGTACCCTTTACCGTCTGATCACTTGCCTAGTCCGTCTGAGACGGCGACCAGCGAGGAGAGCTTTGATTTGCTTGCCAGGGGTGAAGCGAGCATCTTGCTCCCCGATGGACCGGGGGCATGAGAGGGGAGAGACCAGGCTCCCGTCGAAAGCAAACAATGTCTTGTTTTCGGGTGCGAGAGTCCTGGTTCTTCCGTTGCGGTTGCATCTGCTGATCTTTCGGTGACTGTTCTGACTGGTCCACTGGAGGGCTGTGTTGATTCTTATTGACTCTCGGGGTCAATTTGTGGATTTCTCGCACCATTCTCGTTTTCGTTTTCTTCTTTTTTTGAGAGTTCCAAGAAATTTGGGGGTTGATGGTTAATATCATTGGGTTGGCAAATCTGACATCCGAGGATGTTCAGGCTTCAATCTCTTGACGCCAACTGTCCCCCCCCCAAATGAGGGCTTATAGATCTCCTTCCTACACGGAGTAGACCGCTCTGACAATGCAGATTGCATTTTCCCCTGCTTTTACCCTTGTCCTTTGTTTTGCTTTTTCCCACCCCCCATTTTTTTTTTCCATTTGCCAAGGTCAATGCCGAGAAATCTCATGGCCTCGTGGTCTCTAGGCACTTGAAATGTGAATCTGTCGGTGAACTAGTGGATTGCATGTTCGATACAGGTGCTCGTACCAAGCCCTTTCCCTCCATCGGGCGAGGTTCGTAAATCTGCTTTTTCTTGCTTTTGAAAAGATGCATATTGCACTCAATAGTCCATAGTCCATTCCATTCCTGTGCACATCGTGGCTAGCTTCTACAGGGAATCGTTCATCTTTTGTTTCTGTAAATTCGGGGAAAAAGAATCACACTGTGTCCATGTCTCTGGCATTGTCTCTTAACCCTTGTTCCTTGTTCCCTGTTGCAGCTGAAAGACCTTGAGATGGTCCTTGTACGGAGTACTCGACAAACCAACCTCGAGGCATGGTACAGGTCCCCATACAGGTCCATGGATCCGATTGCATTTCACAGTCTAGACAACTTGGGGGCACCCCCGGAATTCAGAATTGCTGTTCTGTTCGGATGATCTCGTGCGGGATGGGAAGGGAAGAGAGAAGAACAGTCAAGTTTACTCCGTTGATTAGTGATACACTGTCTGGTTATTGCAGCTCGAGCTGAGCACTGTGCTGCCTGGTAGGTAACCTTAGCATACACATCTCACACATATGCTGCCACACACCGTACAAAAGGCAGATTGATCAATGCAAAGATCTAGCCTAGACACCTGTTTGAATTGGGACTGCTTCTTTGGGGGACCTGATCATTGCACATTGGATCTGTTTCTGTGCGAGAATGCAGGCAGTACCAGGGTCAAACTGTACGAAAAAGATAGAGGAGTCCGTTAGGTATAAAGAGAGATAGGAGACGAACCGTCATAGGATCAATAGGGTAATATCATCCACCGCATCAGACAGAAAGTCGGATTCAATGATCCGCCTCTTTTTTATTTTGGACTCCGTTAACTCTTCCTCTTCTGTTACCAGAGGCAGAGAGAGAGAGAGAGAGAGAGAGAGAGAGAGAGAGAGAGAGAGAGAGAGAGAGAGAGAGAGAGAGAGACG